ATTTGCATTTTGTATGGTTGACAACGCTCTACATCTGCAAAAGCAAATAAATTAATAGGCCTTATTGCCTTCCCTCCTCTGCTCGACTACTGCAGCTGCCTGGCTGATAGAGAGAATGAAGAGAAGCAAAAAAAAAAAAAAAAAAAAAAAAAAAAAAATTTCTAAAGAAAAAATAAGCTAGAAGAGTATCATCCAAGTTAAAATATTACTTACCATAACCTGGAATATGATTATTAGGGTGTTGAGCTGACCCTGCTTTAAAAGCACAGGAATCCCTGCTTCAGACTGGCAGGCCTTTCACAGTTACACAGCAGCATTCGCTCTCTAACTGAAGTCAGTGATCTCATAGCCTGGGGGATCTGACACGCAGCATAAATTTGCCACTGCCATAGCCTATAAATGAGCATTGCTATTTTACAGTGATAACAGATGAGGGCGACTTGGCCTGCTCCCTTTCCTTTAAAAGCCCTGTGCTCATAATGCATGGAAAGCTCTGTTGTTTGATTCTAATGGACAGTGTCTCTTTCTGATAAGTGAAATATATTTGCCACTTTGGCTCCAAAGTATGTACTTTTCATGCCCTTTCCTGTCTTAGATTGCTTTTATTCCCTTGTTAATCTGAAGAGGTGCCCTTCACTCAAGTGAGGCACTCTAAGAAAAATCATCTCCTGCTGTAAACCTCTGAGCTTGTATTAACATAGAAATGAATTTCATGAGCCAGACCAAGAGGTAACTGGAATTTGTCTGAGCCTAGAAGGGCCTCATAGAATCCATATATATCTTGGTGCACTACAAGGCAACTGGACCAAATTGGGGCAGCTGTGGGTGGATAGCCCTTGAGCCCCTTATTCCCTTCTTTCTACAAAAAGAAAGGTCTCTAAATGCTCTGTTTTAACCTTGCTTTTTTCCACTCTCCTCAGGTGCATGCAGAGGGATGAGCAAGGAGACACCCTTAGCTTGGAGCTGTATGGGGCAGACGCAGGGCCCAGCTCCCTGCTTGTTGTGCTGGAGTTACTGGTTCCACATCAGGGCTATGCTGACAGGAGACACGTTGCAGGTGCATTGACTGCATTAATATTTGCTTGTTTAACTATGGGGACAGAGCCTGCGCTGTCTGAAAAGTCAGCTTGTCCTCCAATGCCCTCTGGTGACAGGAACTCATTAGCTGCCACTGCTTTTGTCGAATCCGTATGCAAAATGCCAATGATGATGTATTTCTAGTTCATGTTTTTAGCTGAGTGCTAAGCTTTGGCACAACTGGAAATCAGTGTTCGTTAGCTTGTGTACAAACCTCTCTCTGTGACTGCCACAGCACTTGCCCAGGAGCACCAAGTAAGATGTTCTAAAGACACCATAACTTAGGCAATTGCCAGAGCTTATTAGGTTGATCCTTTAAGTGCTTTAGTCCTGATCCCCGCTGCAGATACGTGCACGTGTATGTGTGTGTGTGTGTGTGTGTGTGTGTGTGTGTGTGTGTGTGCCTGCGTGGCTGCAGAGACGCCCTGTGTCACCTTCCGTGCTCACTCGGTCTGTCAGGACAGCAAAGCAGAGGCCCTAAACCGCTGATTCCTACAATAATTATAAACGCTTGCATATGCTGGTGCATAATTCCTGACCGCTGCCAGGAATGTTACAAAAATGTGCAAAAATTACATTACAAAAATTGAAGTGAAATCACAAAATAGGCAGGAAGTGAGAGGGAGACCAAGAGGCAAAAGCAGGCAAACACTTTCTCAGTATTTAAACTCAAACTGCCTCATAGGCATGCAGACAGTTCTCAAAACTACATGCTCAATAGAAATTGCAAAATGTGGCAGCTTATTCTTTAGCCTTTGTGTTTGTATTCTGACAGGACTGTTGGATCATCGTGATATTAGGAATGCAGGTAGTAATGCGAGGTGAGCAGTTTATGAATTCCGAATAATAACTTTTATATTAAAAATGGCAAAACTACTGAAATAACTTCCAAAAAGTGGGTCAGCTGTCATCTTAGGAGCCCAGAGAGCTTCCGTGTTTGTTGTTTTTTTGTTATTGTTCCTGTTGTTATTTGCAAGTCCAGCTCTTAGAAAAATAAAATGGTGAAAATAACACGTGCTTTAAGGAAAAAAAAAGGCCAAGAATTTGCTGCTGTTGATTTTTCTTTCCTGCTGGAGGGTGCTGCTGTGCACTGAGCATTGGCTATTGCCCCGTGACAAAGCGGGTTTGCAGTCGGGGCTGCCAGCAGCGCCGTGGCTGCTGGGGCGGGAGCAGGCCGGGGATAATTTGAGGAGCTGCCTGGCAGGCAGACGTGCAGCCAGGAGAGCAGCTCGCGGCTGCGCTCGCCAGCCCCGCATTGCCCCCCTGGGGCTGTGTGCCTGCCAGCACATCGGTGAGCTCCTTCTCCTTCTCCTTCTCCTTCTCCTTCTCCTTCTCCTTCTCCTTCTCCTTCTCCTTCTCCTTCTCCTTCTCCTTCTCCTTCTCCTTCTTTCTCCTCCTCCTCCTCCTCCTTCTCCTCCTCCTCCTCCT